TACAATTTCTCATTTCATTCATCATTTCTGAACACTAATACAAGCTTGAGGAGAATAATTTCCTAGTTAGCTGTATTTCCTTAGAACAAAGGTTTTTTTTATAAAGACCGATTCTACTTCTAGAATGGAATATTCTGCAGGATAGCTAGGTGATTACTCACCTTTTAAAACTTTCCAAAAATTGCACTTTATAAATAAATCCCATGGAGTCTAATTATATCTTTATATCTTATGTACCTGCCAGTTGTCATTTTCATAATGGAAATACACCTATGCTAATAAAAGAACAATATGTGCTTGTGTGAGAAGATGCAGACACAAGCACACAGATATGTTCACCCTCTACTTTTCCAATGTAGACTGACACATTTCCATGATGATTAACCCTTTCCCTGCACAAACTAAACTTTTGCCACATTTAGCTGCCTATGACCCCCTTTATACCCAAATTAGTTTTGAATATTTGCTTGCCAACTAACTACCTCCCTTCACGATTTTGATTTCCCTGCCTCTTCCTTCCTGAAATAGGTGGCCACTTTCCTCTTCCAATTAACCCCTTCCTCCCACCCAAACAGAGCTTTTCATTTTCCTAGCTATCCACACAAGGACCCTATCCTGGCTCCTAAAGTGCTGCTCCTGTCATATTTCTGCTTTCACTGCCTGGCAGACATCTGGCCCTGACTGAACTGGTGACTCAATAGGGCACTTGCCAGTGACACATACACACACAAAATATAGTTTAGACATAAATGCACACCCCATGCACTTTTTAGGAGGGATGATCCCCTATTTTGGATACAATCCTTCTGTTCTTCTTCTTTATCCAAATGTTCCTATTTTCTGGGAGCTCCATATTGCTGATGTATCTGAGTGTATAACGCACTTTATACCCCACAACCAAAGACTACACATACTAGAAGCTCAGAACAAGTCTAACCCATCAAAGAAATTAGGCAAACAATTAAACAGGGTACATAGCGAATTCCACCGCATACAATTACGCACGACAGAATGTTACATGCTGAAACTTAAAAGTATCAGTACCAACAGGACAACAAAACGGGTAAACTGCTGGCATCTAAACTTATCAAAAATATGCCCAGACCAAAATCACCTCAATTTTTAATCCACAGGTGGTGAAACTAACAAACCCATCCAGTATACTGAATGCATTTGCCGAATACTATAAATGACTATACAACCTCACAGGGGACAACACAGTTCCACAACCCACTAGTACTGATATGCTAATGTTCCTAGATCAGGTTCAGATACCAAAATTATCACAGGCCCATGTGGTAAACACCAAATTAATATATATTACACAAGGTTCGTCTACATTAAAAGGTATTTATTAGAAGGCAACACAATACCATAAATTTATCACAAACACACAGCCCAGACCCACGTGGCAACAACCCTTTTTAATATATCTATCTATATAGTAATCCCCTTCCCCACACGTTTGATCTCACCCACGGTTAGGCCTTCACATCTAGGAATAGCTCACTGCTGCAAGTTCAATATTACATCCACCAAGGAAGAAAAGGAAGCAACAGAGTGTAACATAGTTCAGCATGATAGCACATGTCTGCTGACGTCTGCTCAGTAGCACAGTCAAGAAGGAACAGTGAGAAATGGAGATAGGGGAAAGTGGTTCTCTCTTTCCTGACTTGTAATGGTATTGAATTACCCAATTACCATATCAAAGGGTAAAGCTTTTCCCACTGTAAGAAAGGCATACATGAGATTGGTCACATGACCCCTGGTCACCATATTAGTTTGATGTCAAAATGTCACCACAACCCAAACCAGGAAAATCCCCCAATAAATGCGAACATTTTCACCCAATTTCACTGCTCAATGCGTTCACAAAACTCTTTGCCAAAACCATCGCCAACTGCATAAAGCCAGTGTTTCCCGAATTGGTTTCCCGATAGCAGGCAGGATTTGTACCACGTAGACAGGCAAGAGATAATACAAGAAGGTTTCTGGATCTTGTTGAAATAATGAAAAGAGAAAAAAAGTCGGCCTACATTGGGGGAATATTACAGAGGTCCTTAAAAAATTTGGTTTCCCGGCTAACTACTTAAGAACAATATTGGCACTATACATGGCGCCATCTGCCAAAATTCTTAATACCGGCTTTTTATCTAAAATGTTTTTATTATCAAACGGTACCCGCCAAGGTTGCCCCCTGTCGCCATTAATTTTTATATTAGCATTAGAACCATTGGCGAAGCAAATTCACAAAAGGATCAAGGGACTGGACACAGCAGTGGGAGAACAAAAGATAGCACAATTTGCTGATGATATTGCTAACAAATCCTACAGAATCACTCCCCCAACGAATTCACTTACTATAAGCATATGGATCTGTATCCTACTATAAAAATAACATCAACAAGACACAGGTGTTGCCCTTTATTTAAAATAAAAACAACCAAAAACTCTCTAAAGGAACAATTCTCCTTTGATTGGAGAGATAACGCTTTACAATACATAGGCATACAACCTGCAACCACAAAACAAAAGTTGATACAGTTCAACCACACTACACTGCTTACCAAACTAAAACTCTCAACACAATCCTGGGAAAATAAAATGATCTCATGGCTCGGTAGAATCAGTTCAATAAAAATGATGGTGCTCCCTCAGATACCGGTTCTATTACACACTCTCCCAGTAGACATTCCTAACAGTATTCTAACGAACTTGGGGGCTTGGGGGTACCAGATATCAACAAATACTATACAGCCACTATATTGGCACAAATAGGAGGCATCCATGACAAAACAGAACGTCCCCTTTGGTATATACTAGAAAACTCTGTGATCGCCCCACATTCTATTTTAACCCTGTTGTGGCTTCCAGCCCACCTAAAGCCCACCCAAATACAGCCTGTGTCCATGACTTCATTTACCCTTTAGGTGTGGAATAAATGGGCTAGAGCTCTGTTGGCTCCGACAACCCATTGTGGTTTGCACCACTACAGTGCCTGCAATACCACACCAAGGAATTGCAGCTCCAACCATGGATCTCTGCAGGTATACAGAAAATTACCAAATTATTTGGGGACTCTGGGCTAGAACCATTCCCCAGTCAGCAAAAGAATTTCATGCTTTCCAACAGGGAGCTTTTCACATAACTGAGAGTTAAACATATGGTATGGGAAAACAGGCTGAAAACCAAAACCGTCTCTGATAGGTAACTTTGAATGACTATGTGAAGGAGGGAATCCATTATTGGCCTGCTACAGAGCCCTACAGGATGCTTAGAGACTCCTGAAGTTCTTGTATATGGTTAATTGGGAAACAGAGATCCATCAAGAATTTACCACTTATCAGTCAAAGCAGGCACTAATACAAACAAAAGCAACTACTAGAGGCATATACCACCTAGAGGCGACATATAAGGTATGGATGAGGTGGTACATGACCCCCCCAGAGGTTCTTATGTATTTATGCCAATTCAGGCCTGCAGGTGTTGGAGATGCGGGAACATGGAGGGATCGATTAGCCATATGTTCTGGTCTTGCAAAACACTTCACCTTTTCTGGACACAAATCAAAGAGGTGTTGTTTACCATGACAGGGAATGATGTGCCACTTCACATTGCATCCTACATCCTTCACATATTCACGAAGATGAATAAAAAAGTGGAAAGATCAGCAATTATCCGTGTACTGATAGCCGCAAAGAATAGCATTGCATTCGTATGGAAAAACAATATGAATATTGTACTGGAAACCTTCAATAAGATCAGAGTGTATGAAGAAATGTTCCACAATCTGAATATCAGACATACGAACAAACATGGGCAAAATGGGACTCAGTCTGGGACACTTATGGGGACAAGAGGAGTGCGAATGTGGATGGGGGTGAATTATTCTCAAATATAAGACACAAGAGTGTATGAGGCCTGGCTGGGGCGTTAACACAGGGGACAAAAATTATCATGGGCTGAGCTAGGAGACCAGACATAAACATATTTTGAGCACAAAGTGAAATGTTACAGGGTGACATGGGAAGGAATCAAGCGTGGTCCACTTGCTTAATTCGAGCATTGCCAAAAATTATCTTGAAGTTTACACTTTTATTTTAAGTTAGGTTTTGTCAGAATTTAACTATAATCTGATAATCCGACACTTCCGGGTTCACGGACCAATGACACGCCCCCTTCTCTGACGCGGCTTCCTCACGCTACTTAGAGGAACCGCGCCAGATTCAAAGTGCTTGGTTATTTTGAAGCTTCCTGAACTTCTGACCAGCTACAAACAATCTCTCGCTAAACTTCTGAAAGTGTACCAAATCTGGACTGTTCATACATTGGATCTCCATCCTCCTTCTATTGACCTTGGATTACCTTTGGAATACTTACTGCTTTGTGAAACCTTCCAAGTAACGGCAAGTTATAGATTTGGATTAATCCCTCTACTGGCACTTCAATACTTACTGCTTAATTATTTTCTGTGCCTCCTTAGTTCAATTAGTGGACAAACTATCTGCATATTGTATTCTCTAAAGCTACAGGAACTCTTCTCATCAAACCCTCTACATATTGTATTCCTTAAAGCTACAGGAACTCTTTTCATCAAACACGTTACATATTGTATTCCTTAAAGCTACAGGAACTCTTCTCATCAAACACTTCACATATTGTATTCCTTAAAGCTACAGGAACTCTTCTCATCAAACACTCTACAGATTGTATTCCTTAAAGCTGCAGGAACTCTTCTCATCAAACACTCTACATAGAGGGGGTGGAGCCAGCAGCCATACTGTGAGGACGCACCTTCCTTGAGCTCCGAGCACAAACGACAAAATCAACATTTTCCTCGCAAATTTTCTCGCAAAACCTCGCATAAAGGGGCTACTTACCACACTGCAGGCATGGGGCGACGCACCAAGAAATACAAAGCTGATCGACCCCCCGCAACGGCCGATATCGGCGAACTCCTGAGAAGGCCGCAAGCATCTGGATGACCAGAACTGGCGCCAATGTCCGATGGAATATCCTCCAGCGACAAGATCTCGGCTGATGGGGAGGACTATTACACTAAAGTGCCTACCAGACCTGTTCCCCCAAAACCCTCACCGGCTGCAAAGCCTCCTGTCACAGAGGACATCCTGCGGAGCCTATTAGATGAGTTACGCCGGAACATTGCAACCGACATCGGGCAGTTCCGGGAGGAAATCAATGGTGTATCGGCACGCCGGCAACACACTGAACTGAACTCCGCGGATCACGAGAACCGCATACAAACACTAGAGAGACAGATGGCTGCCTTACAACGTGACCAGACACAAGCTAAAGAAGATCTGGCAGTAATGGAAGACAGAAGGCGCTGGAAGAATATTAAAATCAGAGGCCTGCCTGACACACTAGCACCTGCAGAGCTTCCGCACCTATTTCGCAGGATGCTCACTGCTTTATTTCCCGCCAAACAAGCCAAGGCGATGCCTCTGGATGGATGGTACAGAATCCCTAAACCAACCGCAAGCACCCAGAGTGCCAGCAGGAACACCGTCATCCGCTTCCAGCAGAGCCAGGACTGAATGGCCTTCATGGCGGCCATCCGCAGCAGGTCACCCTGGCAATTTGAGGAACACTCGTTAACATTTTTTCCCGACTTATCCAGAGCTACTTTGGATTGGAGACGCTCATTACGCCCAGTGACGAAGGAACTAATAGCCCGCAAAATACCGTACCACGGGGGAGCGGGAAAATGGCGACCTAAAACTCACCAACGCCACAGAAATACCTGGTATAGTGCAGACCCTTGGACTGCCCGAGCAATCGACCACAGTAGCATCTCAGCCGACATCCTCCACTACCACTCACTGGGATCCAGAGAAGGTGCGCCCATTCATACCCGCAGCCCTCCGAGGAAACCCATCGCCACCCTCAGGGTCGTGAACTGCTCACAGAATACCATAATATTCTAGAGAACCTTATGCAACTTAAGTATTTTTTCTCTCTTCTGGTTATCCCCATATGCGCTAAATGTTTATTTCATGTTTACATAATTGTATAACCCCCCGCGAGAAACCCCTAGGAGCATAGTATACGGCTTGTAATATTTCTACTCTTTTTCACTGTACAAATAGACCACCCAGCTTCTAAGTAACTAACATCAGTCTGGGACGTTTATATCATATGTGTGCTTGTATTATCTAGAACACAGACGTGCCTGATTAATATGTACAATTAATGCTTATTTACAAATGTACCTAGACATATTTACTCAACCTGCATATTTTAACAAAAAATTTGCCATTTTCCGCACGCCGAGACACTGTTTCTTATTGTACCACCTTAGCCCGTATCAGCTGTTGTGGCGATACGAGTTTGTTTGTACTACGCACTGCAAAAATAAAGAATAAAAAAAAAACACTCTACATATTGTATTCCTTAAAGCTACAGGAACTCTTCTCGTCAAACTATCTGCATGTCGTGTTCCTTAAAGCTACAGGAGATCTTCTCTTCAAACCATCTATATATCATATTCCTTAAAGCTACAGGAACTCTTCTCATCAATCTATCTTCATATTGTTTCATTAAAGCTACAAGAACTCTTCTCACCAAACCATCTACAGATTGTATTCCTTAAGCTACATGAACTCTTCTCATCAATCTACCTTCATGATGTATTCATTAAGGTTACATGAACTGTTATCTTCAAACTATCTTTATATTGTGTTCAGTAAAGATTCATGAACTGTTTCTTCAAATTATCTTCATATTGTATTCCTTTAAATTACAAGAACTGTTCTCTGCAATCCTCCTTCTCGTAAAACTCCTTAATGAGGAATTGTTCCATCTAATTACTATTCTAAAAACCCTAAGGGTTCTCCTAACTATATTTCTGCAGTTGAGTTCCACTCCATATCCATCGGAAGCATAACAGGTTTCCATTTCTTTTAAAGTTACTCTCATTATAGTGATGAGATGGTATCCAAGGTCACGACCTACATACCTATGTCAACGCATAGAACTGGGTCGGGCATGATTGCTATAGAAATGCTGTGAGACTATTGGAGAAGCATCAGGTAAATGAACAAAATGTAATTATTGTATTTGCACACAAATTGTTGCACGATAATGTATGTAATGCAGATGCAGTGTTGTCACCAACCCCACTTGTTGTACCCTATCTCTGATACAATGTTGACATAACATAGTGCTGATGTGAAACCGTCATTTTCGGACATATTGGATATCTGTAAAGCATATTGAAAAACCCAATAAAAATTGATACATTGGAAAAAAAAACCTGCAATTTATCAAAGCCAAAAAATGAAATAAAAACTACCTACCTGAATAATAGCATTAAAGGAGAACAGCAGGACAGGTTTTGATCCAAGATCCAGGTTTTGATCCAGGTTTTGATATTAGCCCTTGTACTTGGGACTAAATGTTTTCAAAAGCTAGATTATTTTATGTTTTGGTGTATTACACTCTAAATTTAATTTAATCATGCATGAGGTTTTCTTTATTTTAGGCAAACCAAGAATGCAGCCATAATTTGACTTCAGTTGGTGATAACAAAGAAATATTCTTAAGGAAGATCTGACATGTACTCCTGTTATGCTTAGGTATTTTTCTCATATTAATATTTATTTTTGTCATCACATGTTACTTTGAAGACTTAAAGTGATGTAACCAGTGATTGTACTTACAGCATCCATAAGTCCATATCAACCTTACCGGTGATGTTAAGGCAGATTTTATTGGAAAATCATATGGCACCTGTATGTGCCTGGTCCAACTTTTTCTATGATTCTTGATACATTGGTAATGGTCCATCCTTGTCTTGTGGCACTACAGAATGAAAGGAAAATGTTTAGCGAGTGCCACTCTACTCTATGCATATTGCACCATACACAAACCTCTATATTTATTTCACATCTAGTTTTCATATAGAAGCATCCATCTTACAATGCTCAATTAGTATATAGCTCAAAAATAGCACGCTTTGACATTACAGGACTATATCAAATGCAGCCTTATCCATTAGTATTATATGATTTATTTTATATTCAGTACTCTTCTGGCATGCAGTCACCAAGGATTCTTTAAAAATGAAGGTCCTGTTATAGCAAGTAGGATACACAAATGACAAATACATCTAAATTAACCATTTGGTATTCATCCTTTCCACAGCAGCCAATTAATGTATATCTATCTATCTTTCTATTTATCTATCTATCTATCTATCTATCCATCTCTCATACCACACAACATCAATCGGTCTCCCAGCGAAAATCTTACAAACAGCCCATAGTATGCAGGATACTCGAAGACCCTAACTTATACCATCATGCACCCATGTAGAACATATCCATATTTCAAACAAAGCTCCCATATAACATGCAGCTTTTCCCATCATTATTCAGCTAATATAGAGCACCCATATAGCTTACATCGATCTCCCGGCATTCATCTTACATACAATATTTAAATAGCTTGCATCAATCTCACATATCAAAACAGAAGAAGGATGTTTTGTAGTCTGCAAGGTAATTGGGATGCTAATGTACTGCATAAACAAAACCAAGACAGCAACAAGGTCTTATCATACAATATATTTACTGAGCCAAACAAATGTGTAAGTTGCTTAAAGTGACACTAAATGGTGAAACAACATATGGCACCCTAGAACCTCTCACTGCTGTCATTTTCAGGTTGGATGTACGGTCACGCATGTTAAAAGGGAAGACTGGAGTGCAGCATTGGAGAACAGCATCACCATAGCATTTTGATTGCTGGATTGACAGATTGTAGAAAGCTTTTCCAGTTCACTGTTGTTTATAAAACAAAAGAGAAGAAAAAAAGGGAGTATCAGTAGGCGATTGGTGACCAAATCATATATTTCATCCCTCTGGCAATGCCTTTCAACACTTTCAGTCAGTAACTTGAATCTGCATTCTAATGTGGAGAAGCATTGTATTATTTTACCATTTTGCCAGATCCAATGGTAGACTGTGGCCAGCATTGCCGCTTTGCCATTGTAGATGTCCCAAAGGAAACAAAGTGACATAATTTTTGTCCCCCGCCTTGCATGCTACTTTACCGACAAGATTGAACAGTTAAGGAAAGAATTCTCCCCCCTTTGCTCCACCCTTTTGCAACCACACATCAACTGTACCTTCCCTACCCTACAGGTTTTCTCCCCAGCTATAGAACAGGAGGTGGCTTGGCTTCTCCTCTCCTCTCATCCCACCACCTGTCCGCTTGACTTTATCAGATCTCTCTCTCCTTGTCTTGTACCATCCTTAACACACATCCTAAACTGCTCTATTTCATCTGGTGTTGTCCCTGCTCCCCTGAAGCATGCTACTGTCATATCCATCCTAAACAGGCCATCCTTAGAACCGTCTTCCCCTCCCACCTATCGTCCCATATCCCTGCTTCCTTTTTCCTCAGAACTTCTTCTTTACCTTGTATGACTCACTTCCTAAATTACAACTCCCTCCTCGATCCTCTTCAATCTTGCTTTCGCCCCCTCTGCCCTACTGAGACTACTCTTATTAAAGTTACAAATGACCTAATTGCAGCAAAATCCAAAGGCCACTACTCCATACTAATTCTTCTTGACCTCCCTGCTGCCTTTGACACTGTTGATCATGTCCTCCTTCTCCTAACTCTTTAATCTCTTGGTCTCTGTGACACAGCCCTCTCATGGATCTCCTCCTATCTCTCCCAACACTCCTTCAGTGTCTCTTTTTCCAACGACACCTCTTCTCCTCGTCCTGTCTCAGTCGAAGTCCCTCAAGGTTCAGTTCTACTGGCAAACACAGTAATTCATATGGATTCCACCACCACCTGAACACCGACAACACCCAGATATACCTCTCCTTCCCTGACCTCTCCTCTGTTGTCCTACACCGTGTCACCAATTGCCTCTGTTCTATCTCTGATTGGATGTCCTCCCGCTTTCTGAGACTCAATCTCTGAGTTTCTTATTTTTCCTCCTCACAATACTGATCCTCCTCCTTCTCTCTCCTTGCAGGTTGACGGTACCTGCCTCACCCTATCCTTTCAAGCTCGCTGTCTTGGTGTCATTTTAGATCCTGGCCTCAACTTTGTGCCTCATGTCCAGTCTTTTGCTAAAACCTGTCCATTCCAGCTTAAAAACATTGTCCGCTTCCGCCCCTTTCTTACGCAAGATGCTGCCAAGGAGCTTGTTCATGTTCTAATAATCTCTCACATGGATTACTGTAATTCCTTCCTAATTGGTCTCCCCAGAAGCCGTACTGCCCCCGTGCAATCTGTGATGAATGCTGCTGCCTGGCTAATCTTTCTCTCCTGTCGCTCCTCTCACACCTCACCCCTCTGTCAATCCTTACACTGGCTTCCTGTACCCTCCAGGTGTCAATTTAAAATACTAACCCTTACTTATAAAGCCCTAACCAACTCTAGCCCCTCTTACATTTTTTCTTTGATTCATAGGTATGCCCTTGGTCTCTGCTGGTGACCTTCTCAACTACCTATTGTTCATGTTAAATTTGATATTGTTAATTTGGTAAAGTCCCCTCTTATTGTAAAGCGCTGC